GGTGACACAAAGCTTGCATGGGGCAAGGCAATGTGCCTGGGCACGAGGGTGCCGAAGAGAAGGAATGCATATGTGCAAATTTTATTATTATTTTAAGAAATTTGGGTACCTTGTGGATATTTGAGCTTGTGGCATGTCCTTGGAGCTGGGCCTTCAAAGCTTCGGCAGGAAGAATGAGGGGCTTGATCCCGCGAGTTTCCAAGTTCTTGGTAGGTGGGCCTCATGAGCTGGGCTTTGGCAAAGGCCTGGGGTTTGTGCTCTGTGGAGCTTGGCTTCAGCGGGGGCTGGGGGCTTCCAGATTTGGCAAGGGTGTCTTGGGGAGCACTTTACGAGCTGGGTCCATGGGGGTCCGAGTGTTCGTTTAGTAGAAAGGCCAAGGTGGCGCGAAGGTGTGTTTGAAACTTCAGCAATGGAGTTTTATGCGATGTTGGGCTTGAGCAATGGCCTTGGGGCCGGGTTCCAAAGCTGGGCTTCGGCAAGCCTCCTTGACCCAGGTGGTGGCTAGGGTTTTGAGGGTAGATTCGGATTTTTAGAGGCTGGGTCCTTCCGTTTTTGAAACGTAGCTGGGGCCTTTTTGTAGCTGGGCCCTTGTGCTTTTATAGCTAGGGTTTTTATACCTTCGGTAAGGGAGTCCAAAGATTGGAGATAAGGGCCAGGGTTTGGGGAGAGGAGGTGCAAGTCCCCTATTAGCTTAAGACATGTCGTCACCTTTTAGCTTGAGGGGCTGGGTCAGCCAAAAATTGGTAAGTCACTCCTTCACCTTCTGCATGCTCCCTGCCGTTCGGCAGGGAAGCTAGGCTCCAAAATATATTCGGAGCTGGGTCCGTAGTTCAGCTCGGAGGAGGTGCCGATCGGCAAGAGATATTCGAAGGTATTTTGGTGAGGGGCTGATCTGTCTTCGGCGAAGAGTGGGTCTAAGTGCCTAGTTTTTGCATCGAGTTGGAGCTGGGTCCGTGGTGTCGTTCATCATTTGTTCGTGGAGGGGGGTTCATCCAATCTAGGACCGTCTAGGGTCTGGGTCCTTGACTGACGGCAAGGAAGTGATTGGAGCCTTTCGATCCTTCTGAAGTGTGGGCAAAGTTTTTAGCTGGTCCTTCAAGGCGTTCGCGATTTCTCTTGGCTTCAATTGGTGCCGTGAGGTTTCAACTGCTTTTGCCAGAGCTGGGGTGTCTTTGGCAAGAGCTTTTGAAAGATAGATAGATGGCTGCAAGGGTTTTTGCAAGGAGAAGACTCAAGTTCGTTCGGCAAGCTCCGACTGATAGACCTTCGGAGCTAAGGCTGGGGTCTCTTGTACTGTTGTAAGGAACCTGGGTCAGCCAAGCAAGGGTGTCGTGACCATGGCAAGGGTATGGTGGGGTGCCGAAGGCAGCGCACGCCGAATGATGGAGCTTGTGGGACAAGCTCAAGTCCCCATATTTTTACTCTTCAAAGAAGTGTCGGTCGGTACTTTGAACTGAGATGTTGGGTTGGCCCTGCAAGCCATGCAAAGTATAGCCACACTGATTGGCTTTCTTAAAATATCATCTTCTGCAATTTGTTGACCTGGCATTCAAGGTGGCTCCAGTAAGGCATTGCCTAACGGCAGCCTAGGTGATGTTGATTGTATGGGTGCCGAAGAGCACTGGAGAGGGGAGAACGACAGAAGCCTTTTGTGTCAATTCCCACAGACGGCGCCAAACTGTTGATGCTCAAAATGGTTGGGCCATTATTGAGTCCAACTTAGTGATGAGGTGTGATGGATGATGGGTGAAGGCTTGGACCTTCAGCAGGTATGTGAGGGCTTTGGCCAATTTATAAATATACAAAAGACAAGATATATGTGGTTCACCCTTAATGAATGGGCTACGTCCACAGAGAAGATGTTCTCATTATGATATTGTTTACATTTGTACAAGGGGGTTAGACCCAAAGATAAATGGAAGAAGGCCTAGGGCCTAAAGTACAAAGCTAGGAGTCTGGAGCCCAGGGGTCAAGTCCCCGGGTCTGGAGACCCAGGACCCGAAGGCTGGACTAACAGGAGAGTCCTGAAGAGGGAGCCCCCAGCTCAGTTTTTCATCCCCCTTCTAAGAGGAGAGAAGTCTCCTTTTATAGGTGAAGGGGAGTCTCCACTTCTTGCAGTTTTCCGATGTGGGACTCCTCTTGCTTTGCTTTGCTTCTTGTTGCTTGGTCAGTTACGGTGTCAACACATATAATCTGCAGCAACAAGATGATGGAAAGACGCCAGTCGAAAGGTTCGTGTCCGAAGATGGCATTGATAATGTGCGAGACAGGATCCTCGGTGGCACGACCATAATCAATGCCGGCGTCTACGCCAGAGCTAACATTTCATTCTATAGTCAAACAGGAATTGAATGGGACCTGGATTTGGTCAATAAGACTTATGAGTGGGTTGAAGACACCATTGTGGTCAAGCCAAATAATCAATCTTGGCAATCTGTTATAGGAGAGGGATTCTTGGAGGCTGGTATTCTTCCAGACAATGGATTTAGTTTGGATCACGAAGCAGGAACAAGACTCACCGGCTCAACTTTTGACAATAATGGAACGAGACATGCAGCTGATGAACTGCTTAATAAAGGAGACCCTAATAACTTGCTAGTTGCAGTTCGGGCCTCAGTAGAGAAGATCCTCTTCTCTTCCAATACATCAAGTATGTTGCATCTGTGATATTTAATCGTAGCTCCTAGTTTGTCATGCTGCACTCGAAAATTATTATTTTATTATTCTATATTTCCCTTCCATATTTCCCAAATTTCCATTAATAAAACTTTCCCATTCTTCTTCGTTTAGTTTGACAATAATTATAAGCTATTCTCTAATGCAGATTTGTCAGCTATTGGAGTCATATATACGGATTCTGATGGAAACTCTCATCAGGCATTTGTACGCTGTAACGGAGAAGTTATTGTTAGTGCAGGGACAATCGGAACTCCTCAGCTTCTACTACTTAGTGGCGTTGGACCAGAGTCTTACCTATCTTCTCTTAACATCACAGTTGTTCAGCCGAATCCTTACGTTGGGCAGTTTGTGTATGACAATCCTCGTAATTTCATTAATATTTTGCCCCCAAATCCAATTGAAGCCTCTGTTGTAACTGTTTTAGGCATTAGAAGTGATTATTATCAAGTTTCTCTGTCAAGCTTGCCATTTTCCACTCCACCCTTCAGTCTTTTTCCTACAACATCTTACCCCCTCCCAAATTCGACTTTCGCTCATATTGTTAGCCAAGTTCCAGGACCATTGTCTCATGGTTCTGTCACGCTAAATTCATCATCTGACGTGAGAATCGCTCCAAATATTAAATTCAATTACTATTCAAATTCCACAGACCTTGATAATTGTGTTAGCGGCATGAAGAAGCTTGGTGACTTATTAAGGACAAAGGCATTAGAACCATATAAAGCTCGAGATGTGCTGGGAATTGACGGTTTCAATTATTTGGGAGTACCTTTACCAGAGAACCAAACAGATGATGCATCCTTCGAAACATTTTGTCTAGATAATGTAGCTTCATACTGGCATTACCACGGTGGAAGCCTTGTTGGGAAAGTGCTTGATGATAGTTTCCGTGTTATGGGGATCAAAGCATTACGCGTTGTTGATGCCTCCACTTTCCCTTACGAACCAAACAGCCATCCTCAGGGCTTCTATCTGATGTTAGGCAGGCATGTGATGCACACTTCCAACCACTAGAGATTCTCAATAATTATTTCGTTGAACATATTTTTTTTTTGTAATGAACTCTGTGCTACATTGCTCTTTTTTTATTAATCCTTAAATTTTTGTGTTTTGCGCAGGTATGTGGCCCTTCAAATCCTGCAAGAAAGGTCAATCCGGTTGGAGGCTATTCATAATATTCAAGATTCCAAGTGAAGTTCTTGGATTTCCTTAATTCCACATTATCCTCTGCTTTTTAAGATTAATAAACCCACGAGATCTGACTCAAGTGGGATTAAGGTTTCGCTTGCAAAGAGGGGTTAGGCTCATTATATATCCCCTACCTCTTTCTATCTTGTTGAATAAATTTCCCTTGTCATGTCAAGGTTCTTTAAAAATTAAATAAAATAAATAAGAAACCTTTGGTAGAACTTGTCCTTTGCAAAACAGATTTGCAAGGAAATGACTCCCTAAAGCTTATTTCTAATTTTTTTTTGTCATTTTAAATAAACCTTAAAATTAATTAAGTACACCATACTCAGGGACGGACCCAGGATTTCAAAATAGGGTGGGCTAAATTTACCTTGCATACAAACCTATTAAGTCCATCTCTAATGCTAGATAACTCAAACCCAAAATTTTCCCCTCTAAAATAGAACAATTCATGTATATCTCATACTCAAATAATTTTTCAAAATTCTTTTTTATGTTAATTTTACAATATTAAACAAAAAATTATTACAATTTTAAAGTTGAGGAATGGGGTGTGGTTTTAATTTAAACATAAATTTAACGGGGAAGTGTGGTTTTTAATGTTAATTGTTTCTGTATGTGAAGATTTTTGGTTTGTTTTTATTTATGTGAAGTGTTAAATGTTAATAAAATTGGGAAAGTGTGGGGTAATATGGGGTGGATTAAAAAGGGGAGGTGCCCTCACACGCAACTCCACCTAGTCAATGCACTAAATCTGTCAGTTGGGGTCCATTTACATGGGTTGATTGGAACTTGGGGAGGTGTGCTGGGTTTGCTATTTTACACTAGAAAAAAAAAATATTTTGCCTGGGCTATAGCCCAGGTTAGACAAAGGAACGGTCCGTCGCTGACCATACTACCAAACTATTTATTGAATTACTAATTTGTCCTAATATAAAATGACCAAACTGTTAAAGTATGGGTAGTTTCCAGCTGAATGGTATTGATAAAGCTTGGTTGATTATTTTGGGATTTTCTTCCCTTTTTTCTCTTTTGTTTGTCGGCTGTGCAATATAAATTTGCGGCTGGCTTCAAATTCAGTTCCGATATAAGCATCTGAAGAAGCTCTTCTGCCGTATTTTCTGAGATTGTCCATAAGATGACTCTGTCCCAGTCTTCACATTATCTTTTTGCATATACAAGAGTCTAATTAGGCGAGATATGCCAAGGAGGAATCTCCAAATCCTCTAGAGAGATCCGTCGAGGCAAGGTCTGCTGAGGTGAGGTTTACCGAGGGGAGGTCTGCCAAGGAGATATCTACCAAGACTCAATCCACCAAAACCAAGGAAGAGGCCATTTAAATGGCTTACATATAGTATTATACTTAATATATTAATATATGTATATGTATTAAAGGGCCAAAGCAAGCAACGGAGGGGAGGTTCTGATGATTTACTCATGAAGTGTTTGAGCAGGAAGGAACAACTTGTAGCCATGACTGAAGTTCACGAGGGAAGGACTCAACTTTCATCCAATAATTTATTTATTTATTTTTCCTCCTCGTATGAATCATCCACAACCCTTAAAGAACCTGTCGGAGTGGACTCCATGGAGCTTGTATCCGCTAGAGTGTTATCTACAACCAATGACCAAGAACTGTATCAAACAAATAACTCCATGACATTCCCTTATATTTGATTAGGGTTGAATATGAGTAGGGTGTACTTATTAAAATAATTTCTTTCACAATTCAATATATCATTTTTGGTCATTTTATCTTAGGGTAAATTAATAATTCAATAAATAGTTGGGTAGTAGGGTGTACTCAGTTAATTTTAGGGTTTGTTTAGCAGCACTCTACAATTTATTCAACAAGAAAAAAAAGAGGTACATCTAGCCAAGGGAAATGAGCCCAATCCCTCTTTGCAAGCCAAACCCTAATCCTAGTTGAGTTAGATCTCGTGGGTTTATTATCTTAAAGAGCAAAGGATATGCTGAATTAAGGAAATCCCAGATCCTCGGTTGGAAATGGGAGTCTTGAATATTATGAATTGCCTTCAATTAGACCGATCTTTCTTGCAGGATTTGAAGGCCCACATACCTGCTCAAAACACAAAAATTTAAAGGATAAAGTGAAAAGAGCAATGGGACACGGAGTTTGTGGGAACAAATATTTCAGCAACCAATCATGAGGCGCCACGTGGACAACAAGTACATCTCTTAGGTCAATCATTGTGCTCCATTTAATGGGCCAATTATTTAGACCAAAAATAGAGATATCATCATCAACTAGGGATTTGATTCTAATTAAAATCCCTAATTGACTCAATCTCTCCATTTAGGCCTGTCTGGTTCACGAAAGGGATTTGAGGGGAAATCACTTCACATGTCATTTCCCAAGGGATGGGATATGGAAATTCATTTCTCATGTTTGGTAATCCTGGGAAAGTCCTTTCACATGTTTGGTTTGTGTAGGAATGTAAAACAAAGTTTGTTTAATTTTCCAATTATACTCATATGAAATCAAATAAATAAAAAATGCATTTAATGCTATATTGTAATTCTAAATTATTAATGGGAACAATATGGTCATGAAAAATATATATTTAATATTGGCTTATTTTCCCAAACTTTCCCATGAGGAGGAAAATAAAACCCAAGGAGCGTAGAGGGCTTCACTTTCCCCCCTACTTTCCCATGTGCAAGACAACAATTTCCCATGCCTAGACTTACCAAACATGGGAAAGCAATTGATTTCCCATCCCCAAGCCTCCTTATACATGAACCAAACGGGGCCTTAAGGGAAAGAATAATTCCGTTCAATATAGGAATTATTCTTTGAAAAACCCTTGAAGGCAAGAGCACTACATAAATACATGGCTACATCATACCTCCAAGGTAATTCAAAAAACCCTAGCTAATTGTTGTCAAAATTTCCTCTCTCTCTCTCTTCCTCACACGACCACGCGCCACCACACACGGCCATGGCCTCTCGGCTCTCCCTGCGAGAGAAAACTCCATCCTTTATGTTACTTGTCATATCTCTCTCAAGATCCAATTAACTTAGGCATTAGAAGGCCTTTGGCCAACACCCTAGGTATGGTCTATTTACTCCAGTATTTTCGCAGGAATCGAGGAAGAGGAAAGAGAAGGAAGTTCAAGGGTCAAGGAATCTACATGCGAATATTCCTGGAGTAGAATTTTGCTCAAACAAAGTTCGTTACAAAGAAAACCATATATTCAACCAAATAATTATTGAGAATCTCTACTGGTTGCAAGTGTGTATCACATACCTGCCTAACATCAGATAGAAGCCCAGAGGATGGCTGTTTGGTTCGTAAGGGAATGTGGAGGCATCAGCAACGCGTAATCCTTTGATCCCCATAACACGGAAACTACCATCAAGCACCTTCGTGACAAGGCTTCCACCGTGGTAATGCCAGTATGAGGCTGCATTATCTCGACAAAATGTTTCGAAGGATGCATCATCTGTTTGGTTTTCTGGTAGAGGTACTCCCAAATAATTGAAACCTTCAATTCCCGGCACATCTCTAGCTTTATATGGTTCTAATGTCTTTGTCCTTAATAAGTCACCAAGCTTCTTCATGCCCCTAACGCAATTAGCAAGGTCCGTGGAATTTGAAAAGTAATTGAATTTAATATTTGGAGCAATTCTCACATCAGATGATGAATTTAGGGTGAGAGAACCATAAGACAAAGGTCCTGGAACTTGGCTAACAATATGAGCGAAAGTGGAATTTGGGAGGGGGTAAGATGTAGGAAAAAGACTAAAGGGTGTAGTAGAAAATGGCAAGCTTGACAGAGAAACTTGATAATAATCACTTCTAATGCCTAAAACAGTTACAACAGAGGCTTCAATTGGTTTTGGGGGCAAAATGTTAATGAAATTACGAGGATTGTCATACACAAACTGCCCAACGTAAGGATTCGGCTGAACAACTGTGATGTTGAGAGAAGATAGGTAAGACTCTGGTCCAACGCCACTAAGTAGTAGAAGCTGAGGAGTTCCGATTGTCCCTGCACTAACAATAACTTCTCCGTTACTGCGTACAAATGCCTTATGAGAGTTTCCATCAGAATCCGTATATATGACTCCAATAGCTGACAATTCTGCATTAGAGAATAGCTTATAATTATTGTCAAACTAAACGAAGGAGAATGGGAGAGTTTTATTTATGAAAATTGGGAAATATACGGAAGGGAAATATGAGACTTCACACTATTCTGTTAGTATTTTGGAATACTAAAATAATAAATTTCGAGTGCAGCATGACAAACTAGGAGCTACCATTAAATATCACAGATGCAGCATACTTGATGTATTGGAAGAGAAGAGGATCTTCTCTACTGAGGCCTGAACTGCAACTAGCAAGTTATTAGGGTCTCCTTTATTAAGCAGTTCATCAGCTGCATGTCTCGTTCCATTATTGTCAAAAGTTGAGCCGGTAAGTCTAGTTCCTGCTTCATGATCCAAACTAAATCCATTGTCTGGAAGAATACCAGCCTCCAAGAATCCCTTTCCTATAACAGATTGCCAAGATTGATCATCTGGCTTGAACACAATGGTGTCTTCAACCCACTCATATGTCTTATTAACCAAATCCATGTCCCAATCAACTCCTGATTGACTATAGAATGAAATGTTAGCTCTTGCGTAGACGCCAGCACTGATTGTGGTCGTGCCACCGAGGACCCTGCCTCGCACATTATCAATGCCATCTTCGGACACAAACCTTTCGACTGGCGTCTTGCCATCATCTTCTTGCTGGAGATTAGATACAAACCCAGATGAGGTCGAGACGTTCGGATATGCTGTAGGAAGACTGCCCCTTTCTAAAAGGAGCACCTTGTATTTTTCTGATAAAGTTGCTGCCAATGGACAACCTGATGTTCCTCCACCGACTACAATGTAGTCATATGATCCTTCCAAGCTTGGATCAGTGGCGTTGTACACAAACTTTAAGTAGCTAAAATCTGCAAAATGTTAAGATCTAGATGAAGAGATTTCTTTAGTGTGCATGAACTCATGTACTTGTAGGCGTCTAAATTAGCTTGTTCTTCATTTGTTTTGTTGGCTTTTTATCACAAATGGTCCTTGACGTTTACGAAATTATCACGAATGGTCCTTGAGGTTTTTTTGTGAAACTAATAGTCCTTAACGTTTGGACTTTTTATCACAAATGGTCCCTGCCGTCAAAAATTCTATTAAGTGTATGATGTGAAAGATAAGTGGAGCCCACATGTACAATCACATCGTGACATGTGGATTAAATAAATAAATAAATTTTTTTTTTTTATGAAAATCCATTAAAAAACCGAGTAGAGAGTAGAGAGTAGAGAGTAGAGAGTAGAGAGTAGAGAGTAGAGAGTAGAGAGTAGAGAGTAGAGAGTAGAGAGTAGAGAGTAGAGAGTAGAGAGTAGAGAGTAGAGAGTAGAGAGTAGAGAGTAGAGAGTAGAGAGTAGAGAGTAGAGAGTAGAGAGTAGAGAGTAGAGAGTAGAGAGTAGAGAGTAGAGAGTAGAGAGTAGAGAGTAGAGAGTAGAGAGTAGAGAGTAGAGAGTAGAGAGTAGAGAGTAGAGAGTAGAGAGTAGAGAGTAGAGAGTAGAGAGTAGAGAGAGAGAGAGAGGCTAAATGGTTTTTTAATGGATTTTCATAAAAAAAAAAAATTTATTTATTTATTTAATCCACATGTCACGATGTGATTGGACATATGGGCTCCACTTATCTTCCACATCATACACTTAACAGAATTTTTGACGGCAAGGACCATTTGTGATAAAAAGTCCAAACGTTAAGGACTATTAGTGTCACAAAAAAACCTCAAGGACCATTTGTGATAATTTCGTAAACGTCAAGGACCATTTATGATAAAAAAAACCTTGTTTTGTTTTTAAAGAACGGACGGCAGGAGGGAAATTTATCAAAGAAGTGAGGAACTAACACCTAGCCAGGGGGGCAAGCGATGAAATTTATAAAACCCCTCATAAAAGAGCTCAAATCAAACCAAAGGTAAGCAATATGCAAATCATTATAAAATGAAACTTAGCAAAACACTATCAAAAATGATAATTCGAGCGGAACTTGAGACAAGTTCGGTTTCCTTTTTTCTCTTTGCCTTGTGTTCCAAACGTTAAGGACTATTAGTGTCACAAAAAAACCTCAAGGACCATTTGTGATAATTTCGTAAACGTCAAGGACCATTTATGATAAAAAAAACCTTGTTTTGTTTTTAAAGAACGGACGGCAGGAGGGAAATTTATCAAAGAAGTGAGGAACTAACACCTAGCCAGGGGGGCAAGCGATGAAATTTATAAAACCCCTCATAAAAGAGCTCAAATCAAACCAAAGGTAAGCAATATGCAAATCATTATAAAATGAAACTTAGCAAAACATTATCAAAAATGATAATTCGAGCGGAACTTGAGACAAGTTCGGTTTCCTTTTTTCTCTTTGCCTTGTGTGTGTGTGAAATTTCGAATGAAAAGTAATTTACCGTGAGCAGAAGTATTGGAAAGCGAGCGAACCTCTGAATACTGTAGATGAAGGACAAGAAGATGCAACACAAACAGTATAACTGACATTGTTGATTTCTCCATGTCTTTGAATATTGAAAGCACTTGCACAGTTTCAGAATGAATCAGAAGCACACAGCTGTGAGGACAGAATTTTCCCAACGGATCGAACTTTCATTCTTCAATGGTTTCGAAAAGCTATGTAATCTCTCTCGTCTCATTTCTCTCTCTTGTATTACAAGGAACAGTGTTAGTGTAGTGTAGTGTATACAAAATAAGTGGCTGAAATCATTCCCCGACAGAATGGTCACGTGGCTTCTTAAAAGCCACATAACTCATCTAACTTTGATCTAAAAAATCAACAGATATTATCTACATTTACAAGTTGGAAGACTTTTGCGCATACCATAACTAATATAGGTGCAATAGTAGTGCCAGCATGCTTCCATCTACAAAGGCACGATATATTATCAAGTAGCTTAATTTCCACCCACCATTCCATACAATACAATCGCCAAAATTGAAACTACGTGTGTTAAAGTTGAAGTTAGCCCCAGTTGTAAGGACCAAAATTGAATGAGTTCCATCAAAAAGAAAAAAAATAATTGAGAAATGAGCTTGCATAAAACTATTATATGTATATTCTTTGCACATATCTGCTATAATGCAACTCTCAAATTCACGGAGCAAGTTTTTGTTATAGCAATTCGTAGGGGCAGAAAAGAAAAGTGATTTTTTTTTTCTTATTCGGTGGGTGGGCTAACTAAAGTTATTAGCTTAAAATCTAATTAACATTTTTCTTTCTTACTTACAGTTTCTATTATTTCTAGAAATAAAAGTGCATATTAATTTCCAATGAGTTCTAATGTAAAACAAATACATATTAAAATGCAACAAAAAACACATATTACCAAATGAAAATATGTTCAACAACAAAATTGAAAGTGTCCCTATTTTAATGTGTACTTCTATTGCTACCCTACAGCTTAATTCACAAATAAATACAAACAAAATAAGACTTTGTAGATTGTAATAGGTTAATATATACTGGGCTGTATTAAGCTGCAATATATATCTTTGTGGGAAGTAAGTATTTACTTTACGAGAATTGTCATAGATAATTGGATCACTCTCTCGTTACGCGAGGAAAGCCATGCGTCACCTCTAGGGTTTCTTCTCGCGTCCAATAGCCGTCTTCTCACGCTCAGTCGTCGTCGTCTCTTTCTCTTTCTCTCTCCCACCCAGTCGCTCTCTCGCACTCAGTCATCGTCGCTCTCTCTCCTACCCAGTCGCTATCATCGCACTCTTGTCGGCCGCACCTCATCGCCTTCCTCTTCTCAGTCTACCCTCATCCACATTCTCATCTTCCGTACAATGTCACCCTCTCTCTAGTCCGCCGTCACTGTGACTTTTCGCAATTTTTGGTGTTTGGTTCGATCACTCTCGGATCTCCCTCCCTTGCTGTTCAGTGGCTCGGTTTCCATGTGTTTTGGGCCTCGTCTCCTCTGGTCACTACCATGTCTACGTCAGTTTCTAGCTATCCTGATCTGGTTGCTCCCGTTTCTGATGGTGATACCTTGGTTTCTAGGGTAGATTTCATGGCTCCTAATGGCCTTTGTACTGATGCCTATTCTGACAAACCTATGGAGACCTGTCTAATGGGGTCTCCTAGGAGCTATCCTTAATGTGTTATCGGAGCATTTGTGGGCTTGGCATCCGACGAATTCTTTATGCTAAGTGGATGTGACCTGTTTTGTTATTGTTGTGTTGTATTTTCTGAGTTCTTATCTTAGCATATCTTTGATTCTTCGTATGTCTTAAGGACTATGGATTCATAGGAGGTTTTTGAAGGAAACATTTTGCATCTCATGTCGTTTTTTTGGAAATGAATTTTGCCACAACATATAACACATAAACATTCATAATGGTCTAGTTGAGCTAAGCCTTTTTCATTTTAAACCAAGCATCTTATGATCTAGTCTCTTTGAGCACAAAATATCAAAGAGAAGGTTAAGCTTTTACCCTTGGAGAATTTTCTTGGAGAACCAAGAATGATCACCTTGTTAAAAAGGCCTTTAATCTCCTCTTAGAATGTAGATTCCTCAACCAAGAGGCTCCAAAGTAGAAGCCCTCTATCTCACCACACCAAATGGACTAGAGATGGAGAGAAATCAACCTAGAAGACTTAGATGCTAGACTTCCTTTAGGTTGGTCCGATTTTTGGCTAAGGAAGATGATAGGGAGGATGTCTCTCCTACACATCAAGAACTCCAAGTTGAAGTTCCAAAAACCCTAACTTGGAAAAGTCAACGTGTGGCTTAAATAGCCGACAAGAAGATGAGGAGAAATTTGGGAATTTCGGCCATATGGTTTCCTGGGCTCCTCTTAGGCTAGAGCTGGTTTGCTTTGTGGGTTCTATCTGTCTTTTTTGGAGCTTTGGTGTGTTCTCTGTCGAAAGCTCTCACCATCTTCTGGTTGTGCAAAAGACTATGATTTCATAGCATGATTTTTTTGACAGTTGGGTTGTGTTGATGTATTCTCGTCGGAGGTCTTTGTGTCAATGTTATTTTGCTTTGCTTTTGTACTAGTCCTATGTGACTGAATCAGACTCTCTTATTAGTCCATGACATGTGTGGTACTTTTTCCTACCCCGGGGTTTGTTCCCTATGAAGGTTTTTGTCACACCCCGGATTGGCTTCACCGTAGCACGATATTATCCGCTTTGGGCCCCTCTCTCTGCCCTCACAGTTTTGTTTTTGGGAGCTTACGAGCAACTTCCCAATGGGTCACCCATCCTGGGATTGCTCTAATCCCAACTTGCTTAACTTTAGAGTTCCCATGACTCTGAAGCCAGTGCATGACTCTGAAGCCAGTGAGCTCCCAAAAGGCCTCATGCTAGATGGAGGTGGGCATGTACATATAAGGCACATCACCCCCTCTCCGTTGGTCGATGTGGGATGTTACAATCCACCCCCTTTAGGGGCCCGACGTCCTCGTCGACACACTCGCACCACACGGCAGAGTGGCTCTGACACCAAATTGTTACACCCCGGATTGGCTTCGCCGTAGCATGATATTGTCCGCTTTGGGCCCCTCTTTCTGCCTTCACGGTTTTGTTTCTAGGAGCTCACGAGCAAGGTCTTAAATATTGATAGTTTCGGAAATATCGGTGGTTCAAAAACACAAAAATATCGATGGAAATATCAGGAAAATATTGATATCGATAAAAATTGAATAAAAACCACGGAAATTGTGATAAATACATGGAAATTTTTAATGAAACTTTAGAAGAATTTTATTTAGTCAATCATCTATTATTTTGACACAAAAAATTGGATGGAAATGCATTGCATAGTGGGTTTGAGTGATTTAAGTAGATTATATTGCGAGCTGACAAACTCTGTGACTTAGAAAATCTAGAGTAATTAATGAAAGAGAATTAAACACCCCCTAGTAATTTATTTATCATTTTTTAGTACAATATTTTACACTTTATAAATTGCATTGTAAGATACATGAGTAACCTTATTTCATAAACGTCATTGGACATGGAACACGTTCTTATATTTATTATTTATAAAAAATTGAAAAATAATTAAAGATGTAAACCAACTTGATTTTTCATGAAAATTAGGCACTTTACCATGCTTAAAAAATAATAGTGAAGATTGAAAATTAACTAAGAACATAAATAAATTTATCCAAGGAAGAATTAAATAGTAAATAAAGAAAATAATTATAGAGATTTAAGTAATTAAGCAACAATTTGAAGGGGAATTTAGTAATGTAAGTACTTATAATGAATAATAAAATAATCAATAACATTAAATGGATTAAATAGAAAAGAAATAAATTATATTAAGTAATTAAGTAACTGAACAACAAAATAAAACAATAAGTAATTATGTTAATTTCTATTTTGAGAAACAGCTCGCAAGTATTATAAATATAGATTCCATAGCTTATTATCACAAAGTGATGACTGGCATGGTGGTTGAGTGGCTGCAGATCTTCGAATTGGGAAGGGGTTATACTTTATAGAAAATGATATATTCAAAACAAGGCAAACAATTTTCTTGGGCTACATATTGCCAATAAATCAATTTCTTCTCAAAAACAACGTTGGGTTACAGCCCATCTTAGCCCCTAAGGTAGTTCCGCCTAATTCTCCCACCTAGTGCCCACTGCCCATGTACATCACCGATCCTAAAAAGAGTACCTTTCTTTTTATACATAGAAACTCCCCACATCATCTTTTTAAGGGAATTTGTTTTCTATAGCCAACAACTCTTTTTTCATTACAGCATAGATTCCCCACAAAGGCCAATGCAGGTCCTACAATCCAAGGACTTGAACCCAGAGATAAGTTCGGTGCCTAAATTTTAGGCAGAAATCTCTCCTTAATTATCCTTTTGGAACCTTCCTACTTAAGTTTCATTTCCTGAATCCTAGGGCTCCAAGTTGTTTTGCCTTATTATACATACCATTAGTATAGATAAGACACCTCATCGAATTACCCTTTATAAAATTAGTAGATGTTACATTAGTTAAATCCAAAAGGTAAAGATTATGAAATTCAGAGCAAGACCGTTTGGGACATGTTTTATATGGGACTGTTTCTATATGCTCCACAAGAATTTTTTAACAAGTGCTTCTATTACGTTAATTTTTTTTATTGAATATCAAAGTGCGCACTACAAAACAGCATGGGTTTTAGTATCATTACAAAATGGTGCTGGATTCTCAACATTTCGATGGATAGGGGAAGGATTTGGGAAAGCTAGAAGTCAGGCTCACTTGTAGGGTATGTAGTTGGAAAGCGTGCTGGAACTTACAAAATGGTGTTTGCTTGCTTTTGAAGCATGATTTTCAAGCATGATTCTGAATCTGATGCGTAGCCATTGCCGGACCGCATTGCCGCCTAATTTGGATTGGTTCAGTTAGGGGTTTAAGCTCCAACCTGTATTGAACTGATCCCATATCCACCCTGACTTTTAGCTTGTCTACGTATTGAAATTAATTTGAAAACTTTATTGATACAAGCGTATATAATATAACAGTTCTGTTTTATTAATTAAATTTGTGCTTACAATCATGGGACTTAACCCAGCCTACCCTTTCGCCAGGCTAACCTTATTCTTTCTTGAGTTAGAACTCAAGGGCTTATTTTTGAGCAGCAAAGGATAATGCTACATTTGGTCTAGATATAATACTTCAATACTGCACGATTACTTTAACACACTCTTCCAATAGACACGT